CTAAGATTCACTAAAATCGGTCGAGCCGTTTCGGAGGAGTATGGCAACGAAAACTGTGACACGAGAATTTTATATATTAGATTTATTTGCGAAAACTTTTTTCATTTTGTAGACAGGTCAATGGTAGTACTAGAACGGTAGGTAGAAGAAGTATTATGTGGTTACGGAATCCCACATGTACATCGTACTGAAGTAATCATGTGAATCCCGCCACCCGCCTTGAGGGTTGAGGTCTATGCTTCAATTGTTTTGTAATTAAACATACATTTTCTGGGAATTTTTATTACATGATTTTTTATCCTTCGTCGTGAAGGTCATTCGCGAACATGTGCTAAGTACGTAAACTTGCTTATGTCACTTGAACACGATCATAGTTGCAAATAGCTCGATACGACTAATACCAGCGTCCTCATCTCTTTGGCCGAAAGCACTTGTAAATAAAAACGGCTTTATAAAAGATCTTAAAGATTTAATAAAGAGATGCTTCAAAACAGAGGTCGCATCGTCGTCAATATAGCTAAAGAGAGATAGATGCAGGAGAGATCATTTCAAATTGTATAAAAACATTCTTTTCAGATTTCAGAGGCGTTAACCCTTTCAGTACGTGAAAACATCCCAGGAACGCATGCCTACGGAGGAGGTTGTCTACGAAGCTACGTTGCTACGGTCTACGGTATAAAGTAGAAAAGTAGCACGGTACAAAAGTTTTTAAAGATTTTTGCGTAAAATTTACGTTATGTAATGAAAAAGATGAAAAAAGTTTTACAACATACCTAATTGAATTATTGTCTATCTTGTAATTAATTCCTATCGCATACCGCCTGGTTAGAATTAACAAACTCTTCCAATTATTTTATTTTATCTTTTTGAGCAGATACCATAAATCTAAAAGTGGATAAGTTTTTAGAATTTCGTAACAACAAATATGATGTAAGGTCCCCATTACTTTTAATATACTATTAATATTATTCTTATGAATACATTTCCGCCATTTCACTAAGAAATTAGTCCACTATATCTCATTCAATACCATTGAATTTTATATAATAATATCCTAAAGTTATCCAAATCAAAATAATATCATCGTTGTCCACATATGTTCATAAATGCAAGAACAGATTAAAAATCCTGGTCTAGAATTTAAAAAAAGAAACGTCTCATTCATTATTAGGAAACATCAATTTGCTACACTTTATTTATGTTGCCATAGTAACCGCTGCGCTGTAAACCGGAGTTCTGAAACTTCCTCGTCTGTTCTGAGAGCCTGGTACCGAACCTGTCTAGAGTCATGGCTTGACAACAAGTGAAATGTTGCTGACAGCTAGAGTCAATTCAATTTATCTCTCTAAGCATAGATTGGTTCTAATTTCTAAACGCAAATAAAATAAATAATGTATAATTATTAGTTATAGTACAGTTTGATTTTCTGTGAGAAAAATGGAAATTGTGAAGACTATTTTTTTATAACTATTACATACTTTTAATCAAATAACTTAAATAGATTGACTGGCCATCACCTTCATTCGTTGGTACAGGTAAACAATAGGTATCTGTTTTCCACGTTAAGAAAAGAGCAGGTTAATTTCTACCTGTCTTGCGTCTCACCTGGATACCAGGACTTTATAAATTTGAAAAAGTACCTTTACCTGTTCACGTAGAATTTCACACAGACGCCTGAAGTTTCAGGGACGGAAAATCATATACACATCGAGGCGTTTGAGAGGGAGAAAGACAGATGTTTATATCCCTGTCTACCATGAAGGACATCGTATCTACACACACCAGCAAACGTGCGGTCTTGTGTACAGAGGGAAATGGGTCATGCACACATTGACAATAGCAGCTGCTAGTTGATTTGCTTTTATATATATATTCCTTTACGATACAGGTAGAATACCTTCAAGTTGCTTATGTTTTCCTGGTATACAGGTGTGTTCTGAAACAGGTGAATTTAACCTGTAAACTTCTTGTAGGTGAAGAACGAAATAAATAAAAATAAATAATAATACAAAAACGCGGAACGATGATTTGAATTTATGCAATTTTAAATTACTGCGACTAAACTAAATTAGTATGTACTACTAATTTGAAAGTGTTGGTATTACTCGAGAAACAAATAATTATAAAAAAAAATCACAACAATTTTTTTTTATTATGTTCGTACCAAATCAAATAAATAGTAGCTGGGCAACTTGTGAGTCCCTAAGTCCTGCCTATTTCTATCATAAAGCATTTATGCGTGGACCTATTTGATTATAATTTAGTTTGACAGTCTAGCTTAGATACAATTTAAACTCGCTTTTAACTTCAAAACTAACGAAATGTTTCGTCGACTCCATTCAGAGAAGTTTGTTTTGGTAAAAAAAAAATGGCTACCGCGTTGTTGTGACGTCTTTCCACGCGCAAAATGTACCAGGGCCCCATAAGTTATAGGAGCTAGAGAAAACATTCCCTCCCCGAGACGGGCGATTTAAATAAAACAATAATCTTGTACCAGGATAAAATGGGCACTCAGAGGTTTTTCAATCGTGCCTCTGGAATAAAAAACCTACAAAGAAATAGTTAGTAGTTCAATATAGTTTCGAATACACGGAGAGCATAATCTGAAATATGTCTTTTAGTTATGAAACATCCCTATATTTAAATATTACATCGATAGTAACATTTCAATATAGGAGGAGTTTTATGAAGCTACTAGCTGTACCCGCCCGTTTCGCTGGGCATTTAAAATTAACATTATTACATATTAAGCGATAAGTATTATATTATTATTACTAGCGACCCGCCCTCGCTTCGCTTCGGAAACATTAAAACACACATGAAACAAAAAAATAAAAATAAAAAAATTATAAAAAAAAGTAGCCTATGTTCATCAGGGACAATGTCGGCTTCTAATGGAAAAAGAATTTTTCAAATCGGTCCAGTAGTTTCGGAGCCTATTCGTGCGTTTTGGTATGAAGGTAGTTGTTTTTTTCTTTTTTCCCACCTAAGCTAATGTTCTAGAGAGACCATATCAGCGTAACCTTAACTAGTAGGTGAGCTCACGGGGTTCAAACCTGACGATGTTGTTAACCCTAGCAAGAGCCGTGCTTCGCGGAATCTGCCACCGGATCGGAGGCGCGACCCTCTGAGAGGATCCGGCGAGAAACTCAGTGGGCTCGTTTGAAGGGTGGGGTAGCCGTTGTACTGTAAAAGTTTGAGACGTTAGAACTCATGTCCTAAGGTGGGTGGCGGCATTTACGTTGTAGATTTCTCTGGGCTCCGGTAACAATTTAACACCAGGGGCCGTGACATCGTCCACCCTTCTAAACAATAAAAAAAGGAGAACTGAACAGTAAATTACAAATAAAAACACACATAAATAGCACTTGCGTCACGAATGGTATGCTATGAATGTAGTAAGCGTAGTGAAGTCTGCCGAGTTGAAAAATGTTATGTAATTATGGTAATTTCTTTTTACGTTAATTATGGTATTATTTTTATGGTAATTATTTTTTACTGGTGGTAGGACCTCTTGTGAGTCCGCGCGGGTAGGTACCACCACCCTGCCTACTTCTGCCGTGAAGCAGTAATGCGTTTCGGTTAGAAGGGTGGGGCAGCCGTTGTAACTATACTTGAGACCTTACAACTTATATCTCAAGGTGGGTGGCGCATTTACGTTGTAGATTTCTATGGGCTCCAGTAACCACTTAACACCAGGTGGTCTGTGAGCTCGTTCACCCACCTAAGCAATAAAAAAAAAAAAAAAAAAAAACAAACAAACAAATCTTTCCTCTTTATAATATTAGTATAGATATCATCATTAGCGCCCCCACAAAGTTTCTCATCTTTAATGCCACCGCAACTGGTGTAGGGAGTCCAACCCTCATATAATTATTAGTCTACCCATTAAGTACTGTATTTTCTACATGGATACCAAGTTTCAAGTCAATCGGATGCATGGTTCAGTAGTTATAACGGAACATCCGTAAAAACCACAGTAGATTTATATATTAGTATAGATACCAAGTTTCAAGTCAATCGGATGCATGGTTCAGTAGTTGTAACGGAACATCCGTAAAAACCACAGTAGATTTATATATTTGTATAGATTGAGCTCATACTTAGTGCTTCAATATGCGCGACGTGTGTTATTCGACGAAGGTGCTTCTTAATACTCTTTAATGTAAAATGTAGTTGAAGATATCGTGGCCTAAAAGATAAGACGCCCGGTGCATTCGTGTCGAGCGATGCGACCGTGACGGTGTTCGAATCCCGCATGCGCTTACAAATTTTTTATCATTCAATCATTCGCAATTAACAAATGTTCACATGATTGATTTCCACGGTGAAGGAATCATCATCATCAGCCTATAGTATTCCACTGCTGGACATAGGCCTTTCCAATTACTCGCCACTGTGCATGGTGAAGGAATAGCATTGTGTAATACAAATCAAGCCCGCAAAAAATACAATTTGCGTAATTACTGGTGGTAGGATGTCATGTGAGCACGCACGGGTAGGTATCACCGCTCTGCCTATTTCTGCCGTGAAGCAGTAATGCGTTTCGGTTTGAGTACTTCGAACGCATGTCTTAAGAAGGGCGACGGCATTAATGTGGCTGATGTCTATGGGATCCAATGACAGCTTAGCACTATGTGGGCCGTAAGCTCGTCCACCCATCTTAGTAGTAAAAAAAAAGAGAAATGACAGAATCAAAACTTTATCATACAAGTAAGTGATATTGTTTAATGTTGATCTTAAATACTTTATTTAATAACTTACGAAAAAGATTAAATTAGTTTATTTAATATAATTAATTATTATTACTAAAATTTAGAGCATCATCCCCACAAATAAAAAAAATCCACAATAACTAATTAATTGCCATATTGAAGAATCGTGGTTGAATAAAACACGCTGTATATAAAAAAAGAAGATGGTTTCTGAAAAAGCAGAACACCCTGTATAAATAGATCTTTCCAGAAGCTTCCTAGAAACTACAAGAGGCTGTAACTTACTTGTAGCCGTACTCCAGGTCGTCCCCGCAGCCACCCCAAACCCAGTCGCTGTGCAGGTTCCGAGGTCGCGGGCCCGTCCCACAGCCGCAGCTGGTCAGACGACCATCGCGACAGGCACGAGATACTGCCACGGAGACCCCGGCGGCCGTGATCGCATGAGTGAAAGCTGTTTCTCTGGAAGCTGACGAAATAAAAATTGTCTAATGCAAGCAATTGTTTCTCTCGAAGCTGACGAAATAAAAATTGTCTAATGAAAGAAACTGTTTCTCTGGGAGCTGACGAAATAAAAATTGGCTAATGAAAGAAACTGTCTCTCTCGAAGCTGACGAAATAATAATTGGCTAATGAAAGAAACTGTCTCTCTCGAAGCTGACGAAATAATAATTGGCTAATGAAAGAAACTGTTTCTGTTGAAACTGACGAAATTAAAATTGGCTAATGAAAGAAAAACCTTTTTTATTGTGTTCATAGATGAACGAGCCATCTGATGTAAAGTTATCATAGGAACCCATTAATCTATATATTAATATGTGTGAAGCAAAAATTTTGTAAACCTTTTTACGACAATTGCGCGGACGGAGGACTATGTAATTTCCCACACTTATAGAGAATATAGAGAAGGAGTGCAAACTGCTAATATTTTTTCTTTATTACGCATAAAAATTACATGAAATCAATAAAAAAACATTACACACACTACCATATATTTGAATAGATTAATATTGTTTGTCTTCAATATAATTTGTCTATAGTGTAGCCTTAGCGAAATCTGTGATTATAGACATATAGACTTTAATAGTAGAACCATAATAGTATTCAAACTTATAATTTCAATTAATTATAGTCGAATTTCGTCTACCGTGCGACCACTAATATATATATAACAACGTAAATACAGCTACTTTTTTTTCCCTACCTATGCTGATAGCCTTGAGAGGCTATTTCAGCTTCACCCTAACGTGTAGTTGAGCTCACGGGGCTCAAACCGGAGTGTTGCTAACACTGGCCCTAGCAAGAGCCGTGCTTCACAGAATCTACCACCGCATCGGAAACGTGACCCACTGAGATGATCCGGCGAGAAACTCAGTGGGCTGTATCTGTGGGTATACCGCTACTAAGTTTATCCCTTTGAAACTATAACGGACGTTCACTTTGCGAATTTTTTCTTTTCCTACCTAAGCTGATGGTCTAGAGAGACCATATCAGTCGCGGCATAATTAGGCGGAATGGTAAAACTCGTTTGGGCTTTTAATACATACTCTACCACTATTAAGTGTTGGTTGGAGCAGTTACTGCCTTTTTCCTTTAGATGGGTTCGGATTTCGGTGTACACAAAGTGAACGAAGAACTTAGTGATTTATTTTACTTTTATTGCATAGATGGGTGGACGTGCTCATAGCCCACCTGATGTTAAGTGATTACCGAAGCCCATAGACATCTAAAGCGTAAATGCCGCCACCCACATTGAAACGTAAGTTGTAAGGTCCTCAGTATAGTTACAACGGCCGCCCCACCCTTCAAACCGAAACGCATTACTGCTTCACGGCGGAAATAGGCAGGGTGGTGGTATCTACCCATGCAGACTCACAAGAAGACCTGCCGCCAGTAAAAACAAGTAAATAAGAAATTGTTTATACCCATCGGATAATTTCATGTAGCACTTAAAAATTTAAACGCGAACTCTAGACTCGAGATAAACTTTCCGAGCACTAAATCTTGTACTGAGAGACAGTGACTTATGTGAGCTTCCTCACTGGTTCAGGCAAATGTAATTTTCTACAGTTAAGAAGATAGTTTACTAAGACAAGAAAGTTCTGTTATGCAACGTACGATTGTATTATTATTTTATATAAAAAAAAATATATATAATTATGTGTGTAAGGTCTCAGTATAGTTACAACGGCTGCCCCGCCCTTCAAACGGAAACGCATTACTGCTTCACGGCAGAAATAGGCAGGATGGTGGTACCTATCCGTGCGGACTCATAAGAGGTCCTACCACCAGTAAGAAAGATAGATGAAAGTCTTAATTTAATGGCAGATGGAGAGAGAGTGTATAACATTGAATAATGACGTCAATATTCAAGTGCACTGTTCAAATATACCCACAATCGTCTTGTGAGAAACGGACCGACAAATTCCTCTAATCTCTAAAATAAACGTATTTATACGATATTAACTCAACCGTTTTAAATTATTTCTTCAACAAATGTTCTATTTGTAATCTGTACTAGAAGTCTTTACCTAAGAGTAGGCGAACTAGTTAGGAACTAAATAGTTGAAGGATTTCATGCTTTTTTTATTGGTGGTTTTTTGGCAATTCCGATCTGGTGGTAGGTTCATTAGTGCATTGCTCTTGCTAGGAATCATGTTAGCAAATTCTCTCAGCCAGAATTATGTTAACCCTGGAAGATACGTACTGACAAAAAAATCCAGTAATTAGACATCTTTCCTTCCGTTTCAGCTTTCCTCAGCTTAGATACCTATACCACGATTATACAGAGAGATTGGTGATTGTGTAGCCCGAGATGTTAAGTTAGTACTTCATACTTAAATAGTTTCTCAACATTACGTATGGCATTATCATGTTAAGCACGGGTAACAACGAATATTAAGCACCGGTAACAACGAGCCTTGAAAAAACTTCGGAAACAATAATATTATCCGGTTGGATCTTACGCAACCGTTTTTTGGGAGGACACAAAAACACATGAATCACGAAACCGATTGAGTAAATTACGTTATGTAGACCAGAGAAATGTAATGGTTTTTTTTTTCCATTCGCCTATCTACGGTATGTTACTAAATGAAATATTAAAACAAAAGAATCCATAAATGTAGTTTTTGTCGACAGTTTGTTACATTGGTACATTGCATTTACTGGTGGTAGGACCTCTTAAGAGGCCGCGCGGGTCCACCGACCTGGCTATTTCTGCCTTGAAGCAGTCATGCGTTTCGGTTTGAAGGATGGGGCAGCCGTTGTAACTATACTTGAGACTTTAGAAGTTATATCTCAAGGTGGGTGGCGCATTTACGTCGTAGATGTCTATGGGATCCGGTAACCACTTAACAGCGGGTGGGCTGTGAGCTCGTCCACTCATCTAAGCAATAAAAAAAACCCGAGTGTTTATGTCCTCTCTCTCTCTCTATGTTGTGATTCATTTCGATGAAAATAGAAAATAATGAAACTACTACTTAATACATGATTCAGAATTGTATTCGACGCCAGTGTGCCACGAGCGTTTCTTTCTGACCTTCGATAACATTGTATGCGGAAATTTTGTTAGCTCACTCAGTTTTTTATCGGACTAAAAACTTCCTTCCTTCATTGTCTTGCTCGAGAAGATCTGATTACGAATTATTTTTTACACTCCAATGACGTTAGCGAAGATAAATTTCGAACGGGTGAATTAATATCTATACTAATATATAAATCTACAGTGGTTTTCGGATGTTCCGTTATAACTACTAAGCTATGCATCCGATTGACTTCAAACTTGGTATTCATGTAGAAACCATATGTACTTAATTGATAGGCTATTATTTATATGAGTGTTGGACTCCCTACACCAGTTGCGGGGGCGTTAATGATGAGAATCTTTGGGGGGGTGAGAAATAATAATGTTAATTTTAAATGCCCAGCGGACGGTCGGGTACAGCTAGTTATTAATAAATGTCCTAGTATAAAATATTTTTAAACTTTGTGATAATTTTACTAACCTCATTTCGACTATTAGAGTTTTTTCATCTAATATGTAGGTACAAAGGTTTTGAAGGTTTTGAACAGGTTTTGAAGTCGTCGTGGCCTAAGGGATAAGACGTCCGTTGCATTCGTATCGCGCGATGCACCGGTGTTCGAATCCCGCAGGCGGGTACCAATTTTTCTAATGAAATACGTACTTAACAAATGTTCACGATTGACTTCCACGGTGAAGGAATAACATCGTGTAATAAAAATCCGCAAAATTATAATTTGCGTAATTACTGGTGGTAGGACCTCTTGTGAGTCCGCACGGGTAGGTACCACCGCCCCGCCTATTTCTGCCGTGAAGCAGTAATGCGTTTCGGTTTGAAGGGTGGGACAGCCGTTGTGACAACACTGAGACCTTAGAACTATATCTCAAGGTGTGTGGCGCATTTACGCTGTAGATGTCTATGGGCTCCAGTAACCACTTAAGACTAGGTGGGCTGTGAGCTCGTCCAAGCATCTAAGCATTAAAAAAAAAAAGAAACAAAATAGGTGAAGCTCACATTAAAAATGGTGAGTGAAATTTGCCGATTTGTTCGCGATATTAGCATTTTATCAAAAACAGCGAATACCAGTGCTAAGTTACTAGACAGTCCTTAATTGGTGACGCAAAACAAACCGATTATCAAACAAACAAATAAACCAATAAAATAGAAATATAAATCAAAATATTTTTACAATTTAATTTCCCGTTTATTGTTTTCCTATTATTACTAACGGACGAACAGTGACCACGGAAACTGTAAAGCATTTGGAATTTCAAAAAGAATTTAATGAAAATTAAGAAACGCGATATTAAATTGTAATTTTTTTTTTTTAATTATGTCTACAGCTCATGAATAAAGAAGAAAATCTTAAATAGTATTTTTTATTGCCCTTTTAGGCAGACGAGCTTACGGTCATCTGAGGGTGAGCGGCAATCGTCGCCCATGGACGCCAGCAAGGACAGGGCAGAGCCAAGCCGCTGCCTACCGCTAATACGTTATGTCATTATTAGTTGTGGAGTTCACCTTGGAAATTGTCGTGCCGCATAAACCTCCAAGCAATTCTGTATGTTTTTAATATGGTTGTTTTTTGCATGGTCGTTCAAATTTATTAGTTTTAGGTAATGGAATAGGTAGGTAGGTGTTTGGGAATGACGCCAGTACTGGAGAGCACGAGAGGCACAATATTATTATTATTATTATTATCCTGTTATATTATCCTATTACTGGTGGTAGGACCTCCTATAAGTCCGCACGGGTAGGTACCACCACCCTGCCCATTCTACCGTGAAGCGGTAATGCGCTTCGGTTTGAAGGGTGCGGCAGCCGTTGTAACTATACTGAGACCTTAGAACTCATATCTCAAGGTGGGTGGCGACATTTACGTTGTAGATTTCTATGGGCTCCGGTAACCGCTTAACATCAGGTGGGCCGTGTGCTCGTCCACCCATCTAAGCAATAAAATAGACCTGAGCGTTTATGTCCTCTCTCTCGCTCTTACTTTGCTTTTTATGTTTACTCTCTTCCTCGCCTTTATAAAAAATGCCATACCTTATTCTGTGATTACATTCTATGCATTTTAATGTAACGTTGCTTTGCGAAAATAGAAAATAATGAAGCTACTACTACACTACTCGTCTACTAAGCAATAAAAAAAAGTACAATTAAAGGGGTGATATTTCCACGGTTCTAAACAAAATGTTTATTACCAATAAAAGTCAAAGGCCCAAAGACTGTTTCGCCCATGACTGTGCAGTTCCAACGTCGTCCTTGGAACTGGTATTGACATTCGCCGATGCCCTTCTTGACGCCGTCGCTGACTACAGGCATGTGGTCCTTGTGACGTCGGCAGACGCGGCGCTGGCCCGGCGTCAGACCACGGATCCGGGCGCAGAGACGAGACCTCTCCGTGAATATTCCGCTTTGGTTCGACCACTTCTCGAACTCCATTAGGCCCATGTTGCTGTGACAAAGAAATTATCGGAATTATTTTTGGAACGAAGTTCCTTAAGGGACGATGCGGAGGGGTACCCTTACCGGGAAGAAACGTCCGTAACGTAAGATTTTTATTAGTAATGCACACAGTGTACGACTTAACTTTGTAATAACGTAAAAAAAATAACATTTTTTTTATCATTCATTGACCACGATTTCAGAGCGTTCGTTTGCGCAATACACTAACTCTTATGCAAACAACCGTGAATGAAGTGTACCACAATAAGTTCGCACGTTACCGAATGACCATGGGTTGTTGCGAAACCTCCGGTTTTATTTTCTTTATACCTCGAATAGAACTTAAAATTAATATTTTTATAATAAGGAACTTCGTTCCTATCCGGTGTCCCACGACATCACACATTTTTTTGTATAACTACTAATACCCGATTGGCATTTGTCAAAATTACTCAGAGCTAGTGGTTTAAATACAATTAGTCAAATTCAGTCTTATTCAATTATGAAACTCAACTATTTCACTCAGTTATGTTTTGCTTTCCGGAAGGGGGATGAAATTTCGTATAAAATCGATCTTTGAGTAGACATAGTTCTAATTAAAACTAATTACTGTACGGTCCATTTTTAATACGCTTTTATTAGCTTCCGACGTATGTATGTTAGTATGTTAGTAATTAGTATGTAACGGAATCTTTGAACATGATTTTGACCCCCTTGAAAACGTCGGATTAACTCGAAATTTGGTATACTTATTAAGGACCGATGACAACACAATATAAAAAAAAAAATTTTTTTTTGAAAAATTGAAATTCAACTAAAAAATGAAAAATAAATAATAGTTTAAAAAAATAACAAAATACGCTTTTATAGTAAATCCAACTAAAAGATCGAAAATAAATTTTAATAAATTTGAATTAAAAATAGCGTAAGAAAAAATGATTTTATTGTAAAAAAAGCGAGGGGTGCATGGTATCAGTAGTTCTAAATATTTTATGAAGTATTTATTTTATGATAGTATTCTGAAAAGCACCCACATATTTTTTAGTTGGATTTTCTATAAAAGCGTATTTTGTTAGTATAACTATTATTTTTGTATATACATAGTTATTATAAATATATATTAATACGTGAAGCAAGAACTTTGTATCCCTTTTTACGAAAATTGCGCGGACGGAGGAGTATCATACTTTCCACACTTATAGAGAATATAGAGAAGAACTGCACAATGCTAATATTTTTTTTAAAATAATTCATAAAAGATACATTAAATCAATAAAGAAAACATTATACACTACATACCATGTATTTGACGCACACACGCATGCATACTATTTATTGCCAAACTTTTGTTCTTGACGTCTGTTGTCAAATTGAGAATAGATTAAAATTGTTTGACTTTGTTAATATTTTTTATAGTGTAGTCTTGGCGAAATTTGTGATTAAAGAAGTATAAAATACAATCATAATAGTGTATAAACTTACAATTCCAATTAATTATAGTCGAATTTCGCCTACTGCGGGACCTCTAGTTTTGTTAGTTTAACTATTATTTTTGTATATACATAGTTATTATAAATGTCCACGAACAAACAACAGCTTAGTCGTTGGTGACTAGGAAAATCGTGAATTATTCAAAACCTCGGCAGTCATACAAGGAAAAAAAACAAATACGTTATTAAATGGTCAGAATTGCTATGAGTTATGTGTTGAACTATTTCTACGTGTTGTGAAATTTATGACAATACCATACATACATAATAATATACATAGTTGACGGAATCATAATTTTTTTTTATTGCTTAGATGGGTGGACGAGCTCACAGGCCACCTGGTGTTAAGTGGTAACCGGAGCCAATAGACATCCACAACGTAAATGCGCCACACACCTTGAGATACAAGTTCTAAGGTCTCAAGTATAGTTACAACGGCTGCCCCTCCCTTCAAACCGAAACGCATTACTGCTTCACGGCAGAAATAGGCAGGGTGGTGATACCAACCCGCGCGGACTCACAAGAGGTCCTACCACCAGTAATTACGCAAATTATAATTTTGCGGGTTTCATTTTTATTACACGATGTTATTCCTTCACCGTGGAAGTCAATCGTGAACAGTTGTTAAGTACGTATTTCATTAGAAAAATTGGTACCCGCCTGCGGGATTCGAACACCGGATATTCAAATAACTGCCCAATACTACAAATAAAGTCGCTAGTCTGATTGTATTCGAGGTATTTTTCTAGCTATGATACGATAAAACCTAAGCCATTTCGCTTAAATCAGTTACACAGAGAAGTGACTATAATTTGGGTTTTTTTTTCTTCGTAAAACATTTAACCTTCAAAACGTGAAATAACTATTTGCTACGTCGCCGGATCTTCTCAGTGGATCGCGTTTCCGATCCGGTGGTAGATTCTGCAAAGCACTATTCTTGATAGGGTTAGTATTAGCAACGTCGTCAGGTTTGAGTCCCGTGAGCTGCTAGTTAGGGTTTACGCTGAAATGGTCACTTAAGATCATCAGCTTAGGTTTAATATAAATATATTTGCTACGAATATTCGACTGGTAGTCGCTGTGAGCCCAAGCATTAAACTTTGTCTTTAAAATTTCCTAAACCAAATGCAAATTAAAAATACTCTATATCTATAAGTATATAAAATGAATTGCTATTCGTTAGTCTCGCTAAAACTCGAGAACGGCTGGACCGATTTGGCTAATTTTGGTCTTGAATTATTTGTGGAAGTCCAGAGAAGGTTTAAAAGGTAGATAAATATAAAAATGCTCGGAATTAAATAAAAATAACAATTTTGTTTTCTCTTTGATGTACCCCCCGTCGGACGGATTCTTTTGTTTGTTTTAAATTTATTTTATACAAAAGTTTAGGTCTTTTATTTATCGATTGAGGCACTACGAAGTCTGCCGGGTCAGCTAGTTAAAAATAAAAATAAAAATAAATAAAAATGAGTCGTCGTCTATAACATTCGTATACAAAGGAACTATAGATAAAATATGTCCGTTGTAGCGCGTCATCATAATTTACGATTGCATCGGTCTAAATGTCGCGTTTCACTATTTAAGCTAACGTCTTATGAACGCTACTTTTTAACATCTAAACAATTTAATACTGTTTTCGGAATTGTATTATAAACGATTTAAATAGTTATGTGCTATGCTGATATTATATGATATAATATTTTGTAGTTCGTACATTACCGATTGTACGGTTGCTGATGCAAGGTAAAGGGTGTAAACTGCCCTTTATTAATAAAACAAGTTATTAGAGTTGATAGTATAGAAACTCCTTATGAAAAGAAAACATATACATAATAATAATAATAATAATGTTTTTATTTCAAGTAACCATGACTCATATAAATTGTTAATAAGACTTAGACCTATGTTAGTAGTTATATTTACATCACAATGAATTACTGTGGTAACATCCCATGGGAGATGGCACCACAGCGACCCATGTATATACAGTCCAGTCTGCTTGCGATCATGCTCAGGATACTGTTGGAGTAAAAAAGCAGTGACAAGAGCTGTCATAATAATGAGTGAAGAAATGTCTGTCACTTCGTGAAGTATATTATTTCGTAACAGCCTGCACTCTGCTACCAAGAACTTTAAGTTATATCACAAGTTAGTTCCAATTTTACTCCGTTTAGTGTCACAAGTGTCTGACGCGTCGGGTGCGCTATGTACGACTGGCTAATGCAAGCGATGTACAAACTGCCTACGCGACGCTTGAAAGGCAAACGTGACTAAGCGACAATGCGTGAACTTTACAGTAGACTAATTTAAAGTTGAAATACCTGAAAACAAAATTTATTTTAACCAATCTAGCTGTAGTAGAATCTAGCTAGTAGCTGTAGGATTAAAATGATTTTAATAGATCTAGATATATATTTTTTTTGCGCATTTAATATGGTTATTGCCTATCATTTATGTACAAAGCAGTTAATGTCGCTTAGTCACGTTTGCCTTTCAAGTGTCGATACGCTACTAAACTGTGACCCTACACCGATTCAATTGATTTTTTTTTCCATATCTTACGCTGATATTATGAAATAATATTCTGTAGTTCCTACATTACTACTTCATTTGATACTTTTTTGGCATATAGGCATGAGAGAGCTCACAGTCGACCGGGTGTTAAGTGCCTACCAAAGCCTGCGCAAAGCGTGAACCGCCACCCACCTTGAGTAATGAGGTTGAATTCTCTATTTCTGCCGTGAAGTAGTAATGCGTTTTGGTTTGAGTGGCGGGACAGCCGTTGTAACTATACTTGAGACCTTAGAACTTATATCTCAAGGTGGGTGGCGCATTTACGTCGTAGATGTCTATGGGCTCCAATAACCACTTAACACCAAGTGGGCTATGAGCTCGTCCACCCATCTAAGCAATAAAAAAAGGAAAACTTCGAAAACAATCTGATATAATCTTGATTGAAATATCTTTAGTTTTGTTTGCTGTCCCTAAAACGCAGTCGGCACGCCCGGAACGAAATCTTCTCACCTAAATACGGAATTAACTATTTGTCAAGCCATGCCCTTTGCCCATTCGTTCGTATTTTAACGGTAAAATTATAATATTTCTGTTTATTGCTTTAAAATTTAACAGCAGTTTGTTACGCTACGAAAACTATTAACATTAATCTTTTTTTAATTTATACGCGTTAATGGGTAAATTTGAAAATCGCTCTTGTAATTATAACAAGGTTAGTCTATCAGCCACTACAAATCCATAACTGTATAGAGTGTGTGGTAGGATCAGGGAACTTGGAGAGCTTATGGCACGACTGCTGTTGAATATTTTTTTCTTTTTTGTTATTGAGGGATTATTAGTGGCCGTAGGCCGTTTCACTAGGACAGGTGGGCGAGCAAGAGCTCAGCCGGGAGAGGTGGGATTTGCTAACAGCTACTCGAGCGCCTCCAAAGGAGACCTAACAACTCAAGAGTAGCTGCTTCGCGAATGAATCTACTACCGTTACGGAATCGCGACCCGCTGAGAAGATCCGGCGAGAAACTCAGCGGGCTGATGTTTAGGTTAGGTTGCACGTCGAACTCTTTGTCGAGTTCGACGAGTACGTTTACAGGGGTCCCTGCTCCTAGTGTTAGAGTTGAAGGCGTTTAATGCAACGGTTGTTGGATCTGATGGATCCGTAAGGACGTGGCTGTTGAATAGTGTTGAGTTGTGCTAGTCAACAATGACGATGTGCTGGTGGTAAAAATTAAGCCTGATCTGTTACAGGTCACCAGTTTGGGGGGCAACGAGGACGGAGAGATGCTCCACTTTTTTTTAGGGAGGGGATTGAAGCTCTTACAAGGTCTTCGCGCAAAGGTGGTGCGTGGGGTATTTGGGATTTGATGACCTGCAGACGTTGGAGATAGACCGTAAGCCCAGTGTTTTTAGGGCACTATGCACTAAGCGACTGCCCTTGCACTCTCTCACCCGGCGACCGATCTCCAGCCGGGGTTAGAACCTAATTAGAGTAGGAAGTTCACGGAGTCAATACTACGACTAGAATCGCAGCGCCACCCCAAGAACACCCGACCATTTGTTGTTTGTTGGATCGGAACGCAATGCACCGTCGATCGGGTTACTCTCCTCAGTACGAGAGAGAAGAGAGAGAGAGAGGGAGGGAGAGAGAGAGAGAGATAGAGAGGGAGAGAGAGAGAGAAAGACAGATCTCTCGCTGCTGCGCTTACTTAATCGTAAACAAAATATGTCATCTCTAGTTGCCATGTTAAAATGCGAGCCTGTTTATTATTACGTAGTATTTATTTCGAAACACATTTAATTTCGTGCTTGTTAATATTATCGGTACGTTTGCCGAGTAAACATTTATTATCTTCACGACCTCAACTGCCTGGAGATCAAGTATTTTATACATACGTGCGGTGACAATTACGAAATAGTCTATTCTAGAACATTTCGAAAATTCGTATCTTTTATGTGGATGGATTTTGCATCTCACAATCGTCACACCAAGTTTTCTGATTATCAGCATGCGGAGTGTTGGACCAACTAAACAACCCCCCGATCTTTTGCCGCCCAAGCGAACAATGACGTCATTATTTGACGTATGAATTAATTGGGCATCGTAACAGATGTATCAGCAAACGAAGCCAGGAGATTCTGTGCTCTCTGTACATAGCCGGACAGACTAATTTTCTATATTCACATGAAAATGTAACTGTCAATCGCTGTTTCTAAAGTCATTACGTAGACTAAGGTGTGCCCAGGAGTCCTGGGTCGTTCATAGCTGAATACCTAGTATGTTGTTTGTATTTCAAAACTCTATACCGTTTGCTTATCTATCAAAAAATATATAAAAAAGGCAAAGGGATATGTTATATTCAGGCTGCAACCAAACTGACGTTTTATATTTATGTAGGCGTGTGATTTATTAAGACACAGATTATCTTAATGGCTACTATACAGACTACTGATGTTATGTTAATAAAGGTGATGAAACATTGTTGATTTAATGGCGTCTTTTAAATGAATTGTAAAGTGCAATTAGCTGTATAAACCACGTTTTTTAATTTCAATTTAATTAATGGAAACATTTCGTTATCGATTGACCATGTGATTGGAAAACTAATTGAATAACTGACAACATTCATATTGCTACTGAATGTATTTGGTTTGAAACAAACCAAGACCCTAATCCCAATTCGTTCCCAGTTATTTATTATTTATTTAACCTAACATTGTTAGACTATATTTTTTTATTCGGGAACACGTACCTGCAGCCTGTCGTATTAAATTTTTACCAGTGTGCGAGTTTTTTAACGTTCTAGATAGCGTAAAAGTTAACTCAAATTTGTATGGAGTTTGAAATTTGAATTAATCTTTAGGCTGTCGAGAACGTTAATAAACTCGCACCAAGCACACATATCTCATATACAGGGATGCGGAAAATATAATGCATGTTCAACCGGTAAATACATTGCCGATCTTGCGGACCGAATGTTAAACAGTCGACGTCGCCCAAAACACGTCATCTCGGATCCTCCCGATCCACTAACGGTGCTTTTAGGTATCCCAAGCACCGGCCATAGTTTTCGTCGACCCCGTCGCTTGCGACGAAGGGCTCGACGAGTAAATTAACTCACAGACACAGCCCACTGAGTTTCTCGCCGGATCTTCTCAGTGGGTCGCGTTTCCGATCCGGTAGTAGATTCTGCGAAGCACTGCTCTTGCTAGGGTTCGTGTTAGCAACAACGTCAGGTTTGAGTCCCGTGAGCTCACCTACTAAGCCGGTGACGCTGATATGGTCTCTCAAGACCATCAGCTTAGGTACGAAGAAAAAAAAACCTTGAAGTCAGGATATAAATGATGGGTATTGAAAACAAAGTGAATGTATATAAATATTATATTTATACAACAAACAAACCTATACACATTAGGTAATTAAAATATGTTTTAAACATTCTTTAATATTACAATTTGGCACTTTGTAAGTTAATGATAAAAAGGTTTCTTATAATACTGATTTTTCTTATGGCGGCCATTAAATTAGAATCGATTTAATTGTTTCTTTCGACATTAAATTATTAATTAAAATTTATACCTGATATCACACGTAAGGATATAAAATTATTTTTAAAATTATCACGCAAGATAGAAGATATGGAATAAAAATATTAAAAGTATTTATTTTTTACTCACTATTATTCTAACGTTCGCCATATTGTTACGTCATTAGGCCCGTTTGTACCTTCAAGTAAGATTGTTGTTGTTATATGTCAAAAAAATTATTAACAAACATATCTCTAATTTGTCTGATTTAAATGAATAAGTTCAACAAAAATCCACTATAAAAAGACCTCTCCTCGGTGTACGTCAGCAAATAAATCAGTATTTCCCGTAAATGGTTACGGTGAAGTTGAAGCCGTGCCCTCTCTGACTCTTCAGTTTCAACTTGACGAACTTCTGTCCGACGCCGCCGGACTTGACGATCGGATATCCGCCGTTGCCGTCTGTGTAGTGATCCTTCACGTATATCGCGGATATGTACGCGAAGTTCTGCTGACCGGGCTCCGGATATTCTATCTCGCTCGTTCGGACAATGAACGGGAAGCCGTATTTGTATTCGTTGATCTTGTACAAGACGATGTCTCGGTAGGTCAGCTGGCCGAGACTTAGGTCGTGGCTTTGGGCGCTGCAGGCCGACAGCAAACACGCGATTAATAGCACAGTGAAAGCGCGCATTTTCGTTTCGTTCGTTTAAGCACTGAAGCGCTAATTGAAGCCGTCTTCCGTTTTAAATGACGGGATGGGTTAATGTTGTAAAGAGTCATTAAAATTTCATTAATTGTATTTTATCGTTAATGAATTAATGGCGTGGTTTTTTTTTTCCTAACTAAGCTGATAGCCTTGAGAGACTATTTCAGCGTAACCTTAACTAGTAGGTGAGCTCACGGAGCTCAAACCTGACGACGTTGCTAACACCAATAAACAAAAAAAGGCCGCTGAGTTTGTTTCGCCGGTTCTTCTCAGGACTGTGGCTTTTTTTGGAACCGGTGGTAGAGTTAACATTGTTATTGATATTTTGACATTCAACAAGTGTGTTATGTTGACATCTAAGTTGAAATAAATGATTTTGAATTTGAATTTGAATTTGAACCCTAGCAAGAGTCGCGCTTCGCAGAAATGTACCACCGGATCGGAAATGCGACCCACTGAGAAGATCCGCTGAGAAACTCAGTGGGCTGTGTCTGTGGGTTAATTTACTCGTCGAGCCCTTCATCACAAGAATACTACCACGTAATTAAAAATGTCAGGATATCTTATTGCGACTTTGACCTAATTTTCAAGGTGAGCGATGGCGTTCATGGATGCGTCCTGTGTGCTCCAGTAAACGCTTCTCAGACAATCACATAGGCCCTGGATCCATAGACACAATCCACTGAGTTTCTCGCCGGATCTTCTCAGTGGGTCGCGTTCCCGGTCCGGTGGTTGATTCTGCGAAGCACTGCTCTTGCTAGGGCCAGTGCTAGCAACATTCCCGGTTTGAGCTCCGTGAGATCACCTACACGTTAGGGTGAAGATGAAATAGCCTCTCAAGGCTATCAGCATTGGTAGAAAAACATAGGGCCCTGGATACATTTAAACTTCTACGGTAGTAAAAGCATTAAATTGATTCTGAAACTCATTAATTTAGCCTGAAGACAAATTCACATTTTGAGATGTACATCTATGTAGTAGCCATTAATTTTATAAAAAAAAAATACAAATGTGGTGTCGTGGGACACCAGGTAGGAACGAAGTTCCTTCGGCTAATGTAGAATCGACACAATTTGCAAAAAAAAATCGCGCTCAATTTTATGTAGGTTTTCTTGATTTTTCTCTTAAATTTTGCTGATTAGTTTTTATTTAAGTATAGGAAAGTATTTAGGAAATTCAGTATTTTAGGAAATAATAAATTACGTAAAATAGAAAGAGAATGGATGAGAGAACGAAAAGAAAGAGGGAGAAAGAGAAAGGTATTATACACTACTCGCTTGTGTATACGACTGTCGCGCCTGCGCACGTCTCATTTAACGTTTTTATTCCACGCACTTTTTTCCACGGATTTTTTCTTACGGTTTTACTATCACATTTTTCTCAGTTCGGTCGCGCAGCAAAATCCCTATCCCCTCCAAGCCTGCCGTAAGGAACTTCGTTCCAAAAAGTATTTTTAATTAATATAAAATAGAACAGGTTGTTGAAACAATTTTCACCAGTGTTATGCCTGACCTTCACTTGAGAAATACAACCAAATACAGTCCCATATTAAAAATATAATTTTGCTTGACAACAACATTCTTAATATTTATATTTTTAATGGATGAAAACATTACCAATAATTTCAATATTTAAATAGTGCCATGATCGCTACTTACTGCATGTCGCGTACTAACATTGAAACTGCATTAACATAAGCACTGGAAGGTTCGAGACTCGAAACAAGGAAAATAAAACTAAAAATCAATATTCTTGTCTCATTACTGGATAATGCTATCCTTGCTGATATCCATCACGGTCTAGATTTGTCATATGACGATTTAACGTCACACCGTATGTGTGTAATACTCGCTCAATGTCGCCTCAAACAAACAGTTTATATTGACTATAGCAAGAAAATCATGAAGAATCTCTTATCAATAAACACATTAATTAGTTTTTCCTGTAATTAATTATTTCAAAGCTGTTTATGTGTCTTTTCTTCGAAAAATATATGACAATAAGGTTATTGAGGACCTTACTGCGACTTTTTTAAACAATATCATAAAATTTTGAAAATACTTTAGGACTTTTGTCACCGAAATCGTTGTAAAGCGTATTTTTGTAATACTGTTGAGGAAGCCGGTAGTGGCATTACACATAATAACATATTTATATTAATATAATCTGTAATAATTTTTATTTAATTAATTTAATAATGTCATTTTGTTGTCCTTTTGATAACTGTTTTTTATTTTTATTATTCATGTTCTTTTTATTTTTTAATATATTTTACAATGTTGTGTATTGGTCGGTCTGATGCTGGTGTGCGCGTCACTCCGCAGGTGCCGGCGGAAGATCAGCGCCGCAGTACCGATTGTTTCGTTACTGTTAGGCATTGCTGAGCCGGTAACCGTTTCCAAGCCTCGTTATTTTTGTTATCTTTTTTATTTATTTTTTGTACTTAATTTGTGTTTGGAATAAATGTTTATTATTATTATTACGTATTGAACACTTATTATTATTATTATTATTATTATAATATGTAAATTACTGTAAATTATATCATAAAATATTCTGCACAAATATGTATTATAGGAGAAAATTCTGTATACCTACTGCGACTAAAAAGTCCCGAGATATTTTACCAGAGGTAATGTTATGATGATAAGGTCGTATTTAAGTTTACATCGATAATCTCAGTTAGTTGTTACGTATCCGGGCATAGACCATAAGTGCGTTCGACTAATATAGATTTGAAAAAAGGAAAATTTGTGTGGTGTAGTGGGACACCGGTTAGGAAAGAAGTTTCTTTTTATAAAGATATTAATTTTAAGTTCTATTCGAGGTATAAAGAAAATAATTATGTAGGTATACATTTTTTATTATGATTTTTTATTGATAAAAAAAAACTACTTTACAATGTTATCAACTTCATTTTATTCACAATGACTTATAAAAAATACGTTATTACAAAGTAGGACCTCTTGTGAGTCCACACGGGTAGATACCACCGTCCCGCCTATTTCTGCCGTGAAGCAGTAATGCGTTTCGGTTTGAAGGGTGGGGCAGCCGTTATAACTATACTGAGACCTTAGAATTTATATCTCTAGGTGGGTGGTGCGTTTGCGTTGTAGATGTCTATGGGGTACGATACCCACTTAACACCAGGTGGGCTGTGAGCTCGTCCACCCATCTAAGCAATAAAAAATAAATATAATAAAAACATATGAATAAAATTAATGTATATTTATTATTTACTCTTTTCCCTTTTTTCAGTGACGATACTTCATCGTTGTGGAAAACAAATTTTATAGCCTACGTTATTCTGTATAGAGTTCAAATTAACTTGGATGCTGATCGTGATCATCGTATATGAGTAATCAAGTGTATTAGTAATTCCCCTTTTAGTTCGAAAATATTTACATTACAATGATGTCACTGATAACGGCTGGTGAAAGTTTAGTGGAAACTCTTTTAAACGCCTTAAACAGAAAGACGAAATTGATAATGACATTTTTTTTTTAAATCATGAGTACTATTTAGCCTTCGATACATCTCTGTCTGGTTTTATATTAACACGCAATAGAATATACAGTTAAAAATATGCGGTGCTGTAAAAATAAATAAATAAAACAAATTACTTGTAAAAAGTCGTATTTACTTCTTAGAAATTGGCCGACCACCGATCTAAGGCATTCTCTATCAGTCAACCAAAGGTAGAATAAAGCAGATGAAATAAAGGTGCATTGAAGCATAAAACATAAATAAATACAAAAATACATTAATATACTATACATAAGTGTTTTTTTTTTTTCTTTTTTCTTTTTTTTGCTAATATAAGTAGACGATTTCACAGTCCATCTGGTGTTAAGTGGATACTGGAGCTCATAGACATCTACAACGTAAATGCGCCACCCACCTTGAGATATAAGTTCTAAGGTCTCAAGTATAGTTACAACGATTGCCCCACCCTTCGAACCGAAACGCATTACTGATTCACGTCAGAAATAGTATAATGTATAATAATAAAACTGTATTATACAGGGTGTTACAAAAGTACCCGTAAAGCCGAAACTAGCTTATATGGGGCCGTATAACCAGCCCATTCACAATATTTAAGAACCGTAGTAACGCTGTATAACAACAAAAAAATATATTTACACTGACGTGCAAACCCTATTTCAGTAAAATTAAAAAGTAAACTACGCAGAATGTAGGTACCTACATATCTACCTAATTCGCGGAACGACAAAAATTATGACAAGTACGACAAGTACTTGAGTATAATGACATTCTTATATTGAGGTAGCAAGCATTTATGAACGAAAAATAGAAAAAACTATTAAAGTGAAAAATTATTAGGTAAAATAGGTACGTAAGCCTTTCTGCTAAATAATGTGGTTCCCTGACATGACATCTTACTAGGGTTGACAAAATTTTTGGCTTTGATAATTATTTATATTTTTTACGTATTATTATTTTGTAACACGTTGTATACATATTAACATGAACTTAATACTTTAATGACATTATGCGAATATTGTGTTATCTCTCACGCATATCAATTTGTTGTCTCTTTCGCACGAATCCTTCGGCAAATATATTACAACCGAAAATTGTTGTATTTCATATGAAATGAGAGATCAAATCATATCAGTATTTAATTATCACACTTTTAAAACCGTATGAACAAAGGCCTTGTTTATTTCAAACGAATTATTCGATTCTTTTAGATTTTCGGGGTCATAGTGTCGCCTTAGAATAATAGATAATAATTATCAAGCCAGTCAAAGCTTTAGATGATTTAATAACACAATTTTATTTGATTCGCGTGATATATGGAGACTACAGTGGAAATATTGGCTGAATTATTTTTGTCAAAATTCGCAGGAAGAAATAGTTAGGAAGTTTTAAATGAATTATGTACTCGCCTCTATTCGGATTTTATAATATCTCGTAAAGAGAATAAATAAATGTACGTAATTACCCCCGAAGATTATGAAGTCGTCGGGGTTGAAACGATAAGGCGCTGGGTGCATTC